GACACGTCACAGTTGGGCAATGAGTAAGGAAGACTGAAGAAAATTCGATGCATTTGAATGGTGGTGTTGGAGAAGAGTATTGATAGTACCACGGACTGCTTAAAGGACAAAGAGATCTGTTTTGGAAGAAGGAAGGCCAGAGTGCTCCTTGGAGGCAAGGATGGTGAGACTGCTTACACACTTTGGACAAGTGTCAGGAGAGACCAGCCCCTGGAGAAGGACATCGTGCTTAGTAAAGTGGAGAGACAGAAGGGCCTCGACAACATGGGTTGCCACAGGGGCTGCAACAATGGGCCGAGGCCTAGTAACAATTGTGAGGATGGCGCAGGACTGGGTAATGTTTCCTATAGGCCTGAACCGACTTGACGGCACCTAACAACTACTACTTAAGAAATGTATTGTTTCCAAGGAGCCTGAGGTTGGTGGTTTGAGTTGACGCAGAGACACATCAAAAGAAAAGCCTGATCAACCCACTGCCAAAAAAATCCATCATGGAAAACCGGAGGGGTGCACAGTTCTACTCTGACACAGAGGAAGTTGCCTGGAGTCGAAATCCACTCAACATCAATTGTTGTTTTTCTTTGGATTATCGTTTCCAAATAGAATGTCATCGAATAAGTTGCTGAGCTTAAATCAGTACAATGGGAAACATGACTCAAGGAATGATAACGAGAAATAAAGAAAAGTACATTAACATTATATTCCCACCCCATGGGTTGTTTTTTGCTAATGAAAAGACAAAAAGAAAACTTGGCTACATCATTCTTACCATTTGTCCCAGTAATTTCGCACACATTTTCTGCTTCTTTTAAGGTTTTGATGTCTCCGTTAGCAATTACGGGTACGGATATATTTTCCTTAATTATTTTGATGGCATCATAGTGGACTGGCTGATGTCTTTCTGCAACCGTTCTTCCGTGGACTGTAATCCAGGAAACGCCTGTCGCTTCAGCCTTCCGACAAAGATCTACAGTTCTCGTAAGGTCATCCTGAATCCTATAATCACAAAATGAGACCTACCTGTTAACAGCACACAAATCTTAAGTCTGTATTCAAAAACTAAATAAGATGTGTGTTCAACTAATACATAATTTTGTTAGCTTTGCTATATCTTATTATCAACTAGGCCATTATCAGTTTTATCAGGTTTTGTTCAAGGCTCCATTCCCACCTCACACCTTACATTTTTGGTCTTTGCCCCAGCTCCATCTCCCCCGCCCCTCAGTGAGTATTCCATAAAGTGATTTAATTACCAACCCCCCCCCCCCCGGAAACCCCAAAACCTTACATTTTTTGTATTTCACCACTGGCCACCAGATGATAAATAAGTTTTGTTGTAACTAGTGCGTCTGGTGATGCAGTGGTTATGTGCTGGGCTGCTAATGCAAAGTCAGCAGTTTGAAACCACCAGCAGCTATGCTGGAGAAAAATGGGGCTTTCCTTTCCCATAAAGAGTTACAGTCTCAGAGGGACAGTTCTACCCTGTCCTATAGGGTCAGTTTGAGTCAGCATTGACTTGAGGGCAGTGGGGGTTTTAGTGCTCCACCCTAACGTACTGTCACAGATGAAGTAAAAGATGTAGAGGGTTTGGTTGTGATCCTAGTACTGAAGAAGCCTTGGTGGTGCAGTGGTTCAAGTGTTGGCTATGAATCAAATGGTTAGCAGTTTGAGCCCACCAGCCACTCCATGGAAATTCAGGTAGTCTGCCTTTGTAAATACTACAGCTTTGGAAACACAGTCTACTCTGCTCTTTAAGGTCACTGAATCAGAACAGCCATGAGAATTGCTGGCAATGGAGTTGGTCTTCTAAACTCTAATATTTGCTGTGCATATCCCAAATTCTTTATAGGCATACAGAATATTTTGCAATGTTTTTGGTCAGTCACTCCAAAACTGACTCCTGGCATATTTTATTTTCATTGTAAAATTTTAGTGCATTGAGGGGCTGTGGGGAGACAGGAACTCTCATCCACTGCTGGTGGACTTGTAAGTATGTACAACCACTATGGGAATCGATCTGGCGATATCTAAAACAGATGGAAATTGAGTTACCGAATGACCTAGAAATTCCCCTACTGGGCATATACCCAGAAGAGGCAAGAAACAAACCAAGGCCAGACATCTGTGCTCCAATGTTCAATGCGGCACAGTTCACAATTGCAAGGAGTTGGAAGCAACCCAAATTCCCATCAACTGACGATGGATTAAAAAACTGTGGTATATACATATAATGGAGTACTACGCATCGCTAAAAAGCAGTGATGAACGTATGAAGCACATTGCACATCACTGCATGGGAAGAGCTGGAGGAAATCATGCTAAGTGAAGTAAGTCAGGCACAAAAGGACAAGTACAACATGAGTCCGCTGAGGTAAGCGTTAAAAAAAA